GCCTGGTTTCATGAGTGCTTAGAGAATGGGCCTTTACTTTCATTCTGCTTGAAGCGGCTTACACTTCACACTCATATAGGTGATTCCTAAACGTGTAATCCTAAAGACACACTATCTGGTCATATCCTGCCAGACTTAGCAAATCATATAAAAGCTTTAAGCTTTATTGACTCATCAAAAAGCCTTAATGCTTTACCTCGTTTTTTGAACATTGTCTTCATCACGAGAATTGGTTGAGTTATTTGAAAATGTTGAACCGTCATTCATAACTTTTTTTTATCTCTTTGAACCTAGCTCTTGGGATCTTCAGTCTGCTAGGTAGAGTTACCGCCATGATGACTTGTCCTAGGCCTTTAACCCCATTCTCTTTGATGATCTTTCAACTGCCTCTCTAGATAGGCCTTTTGTAAGTGGATCCGACACGTTATCTCTTAACTTTACGTAGTCAATTGTGATAACGCCACTAGAGAGTAGTTGTCTAACGGTATTGTGTCTCTGTCGAATATGACCAGATTTTCCGTCATACATAACGCTCCCTGCCCTACCTATTGCCGCTTGACTATCACAATGTATACAAATAGGTGCCAAAGGTTTGGTCCAAAATGGAATATCTTCCAAGAAATTCAGGAGCCATTCAGCTTCTTCACCGGCCTTATCTAAAGCTATGAATTCAGATTCCATTGTAGAACGGGCGATGCACGTTTGTTTGGATGATTTCCAAGACACTGCTCCACCCCCAATTGTGAAAACATATCCACTCGTGGATTTAACTTCAGATGATCCAGTGATCCAATTTGCATCACTATATCCCTCGATCACAAAAGGATATTTGTAATAATGCAAAGCATAATTCTGGATATGTTTCAGATACCCCAAAACTCGTTTCATTGCCATCTAATGTATTTGGTTGGGATTACTTGTAAACCGACTCAGTTTGCTAATAGCACATGCTATATCTGGTCGCGTACAATTCATGATATACATCAAACTTCCCAATACTCTTGCATAGTCCAGTTGTGAGTCACTTTCACCTTCATTCTTTTGAAGTGCATAACTCACGTCAATTGGAGTCTTGGCAATTTTGAAATCCAAATACTTGAACTTGTCAAGTATCTTTTCAATGTAGTGAGACTGTGATAATGCTAGACCTTGTGCAGTCTTGTGAATTCTGATTCCTAAGATCATATCGGCAACTCCTAAGTCTTTCATGTCGAATTCGCTAGCCAACATGCGCTTTTTAGCATTTATATCTGGGCACATTTGCTTATTATCAACATGTCATCAACATATAAATAAACAATGACTTCATGACCTGGAGTATTTTTAATGTAAACACATTTGTCACACTCGTTGATTTTAAATCCAATTGCCAACATTGTTTGGTCAAATTTTGCATGTCATTGTTTGGGTGCTTGTTTAAGTCCATAAAGCGACTTAACAAGTTTGCACACTTTCTTTTCTTTACCAGGAACCACAAAACCTTAAGTTGTTCCATGTAAATCTCTTCCTCCAATTCTCTATTAAGGAAAGCTGTTTTAATATCCATTTGATGGATTTCAAGACCATACACGGCTGCTAGTGCCAGTAACACCCTAATAGATGTTATCCTTGTTACTGGCGAGTAAGTGTCAAAGTAATCAAGGCCTTCCTTTTGTCTATAACCTTTGAAAACAAGTCTTGCCTTATATTTGTCAATAGTGCCATCAGCTTTAATTTTCCGTTTAAAGAACCATTTCGAACCTAAAGGCTTATTTTCTGGAGGAAGATCAACCAATTCCCATGTATGGTTATCCAAAATTGATTGAATCTCACTATTGACTTCCTCTTTCCAAAATGCTGAATCAGAAGACGACATAGCTGCTTTAAAAGTTTGAGGCTCATTTTCAAGAAAGAATGTCACAAAATCTAGTCCCAAGGAAGTAGATGTTCTTTAACGTTTGCTACGCCTTGGATCTTCTATACTTGGAGTATTTTCCTTTGGTTCTTCCCGAGGTCGTTTAGTTCTTTCACTTAACGACTCGCATTCAGTTTTATACGTATAGATGCTTTCAATGAATTCAGCATTATCTGATTCCATTACCGTATTAACATGAATCTCGAGATTATCGGATTTATGAACCAAAAACCGACATGGTTTACTGTTTGTAGCATATCCAATGAAAATGCAATCTACTATTTTTGGTACGATTTTAACCCTTTTAGGTAAAGGAACTTGTACCTTTTCCACAATTGTAGCAACTGCCCTTGAATTTCTTTTTTGTTCTAATCCTTAGTTTGTCCAGAAGACCTCTTCCTCTTCTTACTTTTTGGAGCAGTCTCCTCAACGATATTAGCTCCCATGATCGTTGAATTTCCACGAGTCTTCTTCTCGGCTGTTTTGTTGTCTTCCTCGATCTTTAGACGCATCACAAGATCTTCCAACTTCATTTCTTTGCGCTTGTGCTTAAGATAGTTCTTGAAATCTCTCCACGAAGGAGGCAATTTTTCAATCATAGCAGCCACTTGAAATGCTTCATTCACGACCATACCTTCAGCAATAAGGTCGTGAAAAATAAGTTGAAGCTCCTGAACTTGGGTTCCCACAGTTTTGCTGTCTATCATTTTATAGTCTAGAAACTTGGCAACCACGAACTTCTTCAAGCATGCATCTTCTGTCTTGTACTTCTTCTCAAGTGCGTCCCATAATTTTTTCGAAGTATTCATTGCACTATACACATTGTACAAGTCATCCTCTAAAGCACTTAAGATATAGCCTTTGCAAAGAAAATCTGCCTGCTTCCACGCCTCAACAACCATGAACTTTTCATTGTCCGGCATGTCCGCAGCAGGCACTGGAGGCTCTTCACTAGTGAATTTCTGCATACCAAGTGTGGTACGCCAGAAGAACACCCTTTGCTGCCATCCTTTGAAGTTGGCTCCAGAAAATTTCCCCGGTTTCTCGGCCGAAGGAACAACAGTGCGGCTTGACGAGGCTATCGTCGTTGCACCAACAGTCGTAGAAGGATTTCCGTTATCAATTGCCATTTCTCACTAACAACAACAGAAGAGTTCAGTTAATGGAAAAACCAGAGCAGTAAATAATACTGTAATCAATAAACAGTACGTAATAAAAAAATAACAGAAGTTTTTATATACTGTTTTACAGAAAAACGATGAAGTTTTTATGTTATTCAAATCGTTTTCTGAATTTCAATACTCTGATGAAGTTTTTATATCTTCAAATCAGAATAGTAAAATTCAGACAGAATACAGTATATAATAAAATGATTTCCTTATGTTGTTATTAATCTGTATTGCTGTAAATAAATAAAAACAATAATCTTTCTGAAAACAAAAACAGAAAGTTAGTAGAAATAAATTCTAAAAACAGTATTTAAACTTCAAAATAAATCTCGAAAACGGTATAGGAACAAATTGAGTCCACTGAATACACAGTGTATCTTTAAGGAAACTATTTCCCTCAAGTACCCGAGGTTCTGGAATATATCCTCACAGGATAGAACAATTTAACTCACCGGAGTGTTGGTACCAAAAACGCCGATGAACAGCGAACCACTCGAAGGCTGTAAAACACACTAGAAGTTTTGTTCAGAAGAAGAAGAAGATTATCAGAAAATTTCGTAAGTAAATATTCTGGGATTTGAAGGAATATTTATAGCCAATTTGGTATTGTTTCTGAAAAGGTTTGCAACCTTTTAGAACAACCATGGCTGGTGGAACAGGTTTGACACTGTTTCAGAACAGCCATAGCTGTTGGAAATATTGCGGGAAAATTAAAACGGATTTAAAATAATTCGGGAAAGAAAACAGGACGAACCGGGGCGGGTTGCGGGTCATGGGTTATTCCGGATTGAAGCCGAAGCCGAAGCCGAAGCCGAGCCGAGCAACGACGACGACGGCGCGAGGCTTGCCTTCTTCTTAACTCTTTAAGAGCTAAAAGATGAGCTTCTCTATATATACACAAAGATTTTCTTTCCTTCTACCAATGAGGGACAAAGTGCATTAGTAAAATGAACTCATTCAAATTTCACTTCCCTCCCTTTCTTTTCCTACCATTTTCCATTCACACCTCTTTTGTTATTAATAAATAATAACAAAATCCAACACGGGGTAGGGGTAAGGTCTGCGTACATTCTACCTTCCCCAGATCCCATTAGTGGGATTCTAATGGGTGGTTGTTGTTGTTATTGTTGGTGTTTGTTCATAAAATATGATTAGTTTTAGAAAAAAAAATTTAAGTTCCCTAAAGCTGGTTTAACGCAGTTTTTAGATGAAATTTTTCTTCTTCTCGGAAATCATCAACTTTTTTTTTTCCAAACAAAATGCATGTCCAAACACAATTTCGACTTCCAAAAATTATTTTTCAACACAACTTCAAAAACTCTTTCTTCAAATTTCTATCAAATCTATGTCCAAACGCTAGCTAAATAAAGACTAGGGAAGTTCATTTAGACGTGTCAAAAGCGTTTTCTATACAGAAGTTCTTATTCATAAGGCTCAAATGCAAGATTTCTGATCAAAAGGTGAAAGAATCCCAAACCCATACAATTCACTACAAGAAAATGCTCATTTTGTGGGGGTTATTTTGATAATTTGTGGCGGTTTCCAACCCGCACAAAATGAATTGTGGCGGCTTTTAAAAATGTCACAGTTACGATTGCCACGAGCAATATTGTGGCAGTTTTTGGAAACCCCCATAACAACCCCCACAAATTGAATTTTAAATTTGTGACGGTTTTCAAAGATAACTAGTGACGGTTTTCAAAGATAACTAGTGACGGTATATATATATATATATATATATATATATATATGGGGGCTTGTAACCTCCGTAATATGATCTCTTTTTTTACTATTTAAAAAAAAGGGCTTGTAGCATTATTCCATTGCAAATAACCCATAATAACAAACATCAGAAATTCATCAAACTAAATTAATACTAACTCATGCAAGGTACTCAAAATTTATTTTGCAAAATACCAATTCTGGTCATACAAAGGGGTACATTACAAATAATTGAAATATAGGAGAATGTTGCTACTGCATTGTTAAACAAAATGAAAGGTACAAGCTATTTCACAAGAATTATTTGGCAAAAATGGGAAGAGCAAGTTTGTCATTCAACACTGGAAGTATCCTCTTTGTCTCCTTTGTTAGGTTCAGAATCTGCAAGGCATTATCAGCAGAGTAAGACATGATGCCATTGACAAAGATTGAGAATCAAAATACATTATGATAGAGCCGGTTTCCATCTATTTAGTTATAAACTAATATATTCACTACCATGACAGTGTAACAATTATAAGTCCTAGTTAATCCTTGATTAGACTTTAGAGTGCTTTAGATTTTCAATTACTCTAAATAATATGCACAATGAATGTTGATAAGAACATGTAACCACGAAAGTTTTTTTTCTTTGAATAGAGAAACTCCAAAATATTTGAATTATCATTGCCAAAGATACAGAAGCCATGAATAAGACCAACCTTATCCGCAGTAGTAACAGTAGAAGTCTATTGTCTTTGTCCATATTCTACAATCCTGCGATAATCTGAAGTGGAACAACAATGTATCATTAGTAATTTTACCTGTTTATCTTGGTAGACTCCCCCTTTTCCTTAACACTATCCATTCTTGAAGGCCGGTCAAGTTCAGGTTACTAAAAAATCAACAAATCCACAAACTGTAAGGTAAAATAAATGTGATGCAAAATTTTCTTAGCAAGTTATCCTCAAACTTACAGCAAATAAACTATAGGGGCTACATTCCACCTCATTTGAGATTATATTAATGAACATTCATGTCCTTTCAAAGGCAGTAGTCAATGAAGATTATCAACAATGAGATTGTTCACTAAATGCAGAATCAGAGACAATGCATTCAGCAACTAGAGAAATAAATTCCATGATTCCTCGTTAAAGCTCATCCCCAATACAAGAGTAAAATTGCAAAACGTAAGTCTTTTTACCCAAAAAATATGGAAGTAAACTTGGCATCATGTCTCATGATAATAACTGACCTCCCCTACTTGTCTTTATAGTTTGACCTTAAATCTTCTCTCTTTCTGCTTCACTATCCACATGATTCTGTATCAAATGATAATACAATAATGATAAATACAACAGAAACAACAAAAAAAAAAGCAAAATGGATAATAGTAACTAACAAGGTCATCAAGATACTGTAATCATGCATCAACGATGTATATTGAGGTAATGCACGAAAAGAGGTTACTGAAGAAATCACCAAATATTGCAGTCAAAGCATCCTAAAGATGGAATATGACAACTAAGGATGCATTGACCTCAAACAAGTTAATAGGAGAACTAGTTTATTAAAATTAACAAAACTACATTCCAGTAATTTTTTTGGCAACTAAAATTATAGCATCATTCCTTATCTACTACTTACCTCCTTAAGTATGGAAAGTAATGTGCTGCAAAACAAAGACTACAGGAGAATCAGTTGACGTCACCAATTATATACAAAGAAAAGTTAATTTAGAGAGGTGAGATTTACCTCATAAATTCAACGAAGACCTCTCTTATCTCTTGATGTTCTAGATAAAGGGAACCCTTTGTCACAACTATTTTCAAATACAAAAAAAGACAACCCAAGACTTTCAGTAACTTTCAATAAAAACTGAACTGAAAATAACTGTCTTACCATTTGAATCTCGTCTTAGAGCTGTCAAGTGAGCACAACTGCAAGTAAAAATTTCAGCTTGGGTTTGAACTAAACAATCTTACCTAAAGCAAAGAGTTTATATAGTCGAGAACATCACACAGATTAAATGTTTGCTCTAGAGATTTAAGATTAGGACCCATTATCAGTCCAGTGAGGGCCATCAAGTAGTTCTCGAGAAACTTGTATGCCTGTGTATAATCGAAATTATACAAAAACATGGCATTTAATTTTTGATACATAGCCTATTGCATCTCCAAACACGTAGCTTCAAATTTCTGCTATACATAGGCTCATTTTAGTCCTTTTATATGTTTGTAGAGTTCAACAGGAGAATACGTGTATTTCATCAAACAATTGGCCTGCACTATGCACATAAGAAAATACAGTAAAAATAATCTCAAAAATCACATATCAACAATGATTATATTTGTCTGTACACAAGAATAAGATTAAAACAACAGAAAGAATATAAAATTGCAATAGTAAGAATCAAAAATAAAAGGCAGTAAGAGGGATCTGTTATACCTTGTAGAGTTGTAGAATAGTGTAGCAAAGAGCACTAAGACTTGAGGCATAAGAGTGAGGAGATTCATACAGCGATCATCAACGAAGTTAGGGATCGCTAAAATTATTCAAAGCTTTAAATTCTCTGTGCAACAACTAGGTACTGGTAAACTATTGCTGACTTCACAATGGTAAAATATTAATTGGGATCTGCAGCATATGAATGAAAAATGCAAGGAAACAAAATCTGGACGATTTATGCACAATCAATTCTTGAAAAATAAATCCAGTTAATGTTTTTCCACCTTTAGTTTTCCACTAGCAAAATTAGGGTTTGACTGAAGTCTATGGGCAGCGAGAGAGAGAGAGAGAGAGAGAGAGAGAGAGAGAGAGAGAGAGAGAGAGAGAGAGAGAGAGAGAGTAGCGAGAGATGAGTTGTAATACCTCGGTTCTGGGGATGATGGCCTGCGATAGGGAGACAGAGCGACGAGAGCGGAGACGAGATAAGTTGGGCAGCATCTAGCGCATAGTTATGTGATATTTCTGAAATATTTTCAAAACTTATTTTGTGAATTTTTACACAGCAAAAAAATGAGAGAAATATGAAAAAGAAAAAGGAATGGAGGGAATTGGTCATAGTTGGATTAAGAAGATCGCGGAAAACATAAAGAATCAAAATTTTGATTGGCTTTTAGTGGGGTTCTTTTACAACCCCTATAAATAAATCTCCACAAACACAATTACTTCGAGAGAATTGGCAAAAACGCCACAAAACTAACGAATAGTAGGGGTTTCATATGACCTACCTAAATAAACCCCACAAATTGTGCTTTTTCTTGTAGTGATTTTTTATCGTGACTTCGCCAAAATGTTGATAAAAAAACTAAGGCTACTAATTTTTATGACAACAATTTTCTTACGTAGTTTTTGTGACAAGTCAAACAGTCTCTTGCTTTGGAGCGAAGTAAACAAATTAAATCCAATTTGCAGAGGTGGGATCAGGATGGAAAAAGATATTGGTGATACTATAAAATTAATTATTACGAGGGCCCTCTTGACTTTGAAACATATAGTCAAGTCAATGTCTGGTTTTAATAGAATATTCATTAATTTGCTGAATCTTTTTCCTTTTACTTTTCTAATCCATCTTTTGACTTATTAAAAAAAAGATCCTTTGTTATACAAAAATATCAATATTTTAATATAAAATTTTAATCAAGTTAAGTTATGTTTTCTTTTCCGTCGTTGAATGATGGGCAACATAGAGTCTTATTGCCTAGAATGTTCACTATACTGATGGAAATTGGACAGCTTATTTGGGCAAGAATCATAATTACCTCAACAACAAAAAAACAAAAAACAAAAACAGAAGGAAAAAACAAAGTGACAACTGATTTTGCAAAGTCTTTTAATTTATAATTATTTTAAAAACAAAAAATATCTATATGAATCTGGAATAATATGTATGAAAATATTCATTTTTCCAATATAAGCGCTGTGAAATAAATATTTTCGTGACACCCCAAAAAAATCTTCTTGCTATAATTACACGTAAATAAATAAGAAACACTGTAAATTCTGAGATCACAGAGTCCAGACAATTTATTCCAATGGTCATTTAAAATGATACCCACTATCTTTACGTACATTTAATATTGTGACTATTTTTTATAATATCTCTTGCCCACATTATGAATTTAACAATTAATAGATAGAATTAATTTAACTAATGAAGAAAGGTGGGGATCCGATGAACTATTGGACAAATAACATTGAAATTTTGTATTATTGTAATATCAATCTCACGATAAAACGTAGGCAATTTGAGTGATAGAAGACAAACTTGGATTTTCAGATTCTAATAAGACGACTTTGACTTTTCATACCCCTATAGGCTGCCTCATAACCCGTTTGGACTTAAGAAATTTTTACTTTTTTGAAAAAAAAATCGCTTTTTTTCCGAAATCAGTATTTGTTCATTAAATTTTTAATTTTCACTTAGATATTTTTGTAAATTTTTGAAAATTTGAAAAACTCCAAAATACTATTTTTCAAAATTTTCACTCAAATCACTCACAAACTTAAAAAACAACCCAAAATTATATTCATGTCCAAACACAGCTCTAAATTTCAAATACTGTTATAAATAGAATTCTATTTACGGTGAATGTCCATATTTAGAGAGATTCTAGGGTTTATTACTTGGTGGCTAAGTCACCATCTCCCTATAAATAGAGGGTCCTATTCCATTGTAATTCATCCCAAAATTCAATAAGAATTTCCCCTCTCTCTTTCTCTGCAATATTGTTCTTCTTCTTTTATTATTTTATAACACGTTATCAGCACGAGACTCTAACCAATTGAGTAGAAGATTTGGGATTGAGCATAATGATTGTCAATTGTTCCATGAACTTCCTTCAGGAATAAATTCTGGATGGAAGGTAAGTATTTTACCTTATGTTTTTCTTTTAAATTCTTGAATTCTATAATTTGATTTTATATACAATCAAAGACAATAAAATTTGATTATAACTCTAATGGAGTTTGTAAGAAATTATAACCACCTGAAGTGGTAAAATTTCTATGCCTCGCCATGATCAAATTCATGTAAGATTGTGGGCAAAGAATTGAAAACCCGTCCCATTGAATATGCTCCATTCTCATTCCCTTAAGAGAATGTGATAGCAGTATGTGATAAGTCTGAAAGAAGACAAAAATTATTACTATGAATGTATCAATGGATATGGACGTGGCAATAGACGAAATTATAATCGTCTTCATTTGTGGTAATGAGAACAATAAGGATTCTCAAAATAATCTTTCACTCTGTGAAAAATATTTGTCATCGATTGGACATGAGATTTTGTAAAGCACATATAGATGATTATGGTCCATTCATGATGTGAATGTGACAACATCTGATTTATGAATACATATTCATTCTTCAAAGAATATGAACGTGCTAGTGGTAGTGAATATACCACACTCACCTCTAAAAGGAGGTTTGAGGTGATATAAGAAAATAATGTCATTATTATGGCATGAATGGTCATTGGACACGTACCTATTGTACGCCAAAATATTTTGGCATTGTGATTGTTAAAAGACAAGGGTAATGCAAGAAACAGATCTTGCATATAATTTTGACCATAATCATAATGGTATAACTTTCTCTTTAAAAGAGATATTCACCATATGGATGTTGATGAATATGTGGTAGTACCAAATTAATTGAGAGCTCCGGAAGAGCCAATTATTACTATTTTGGAGAAACACAATTGATTACCAATAAGGTATTGTGTTGTAGTAAGTCTCAAAGAAACTTATTCAGTTTCCAAAGTATACGCGAAAGCGATTGATTATATTGAGACTAAATAAAGGAAAGATTTAATATCTTCTATTACTACAACTTGTAGCGGGGTAATATGTATGTGAAAAGCTACCCGCTTTGTTCTCCAGTTTGTACTACACAAATAAAACCAGACCACAATAAAGTGGATGTTTATTGATATAAAAACCCATATCATAATAAACTCGGAGTTTATTGATAATTACGCACGTCATGGTGTAAACCTGAACTTTATCAATATTGATAATTTATTCAGTTGGCATAATTGATTTAGCCATGTTAATTTTAGTATGATGTGCAAAAATAATAGAGAATTCACATGGGTAAATATTAAAGAACTAGAAAGTTCTTTACAAATTCTCTTATATTGCTGGTTCTCATTAATTAATTGACCAACTAAAATTGGGATTGAATCCCATGAAAACTGGAAATATCAAAGGTGAATATGGGCCCATTCACCTGCCATGTATACCACATAAGATGCATCTATGAGATGGTTACATGTGCGATTATTATTAACCCGCAACATGGTGTTTGCGAGGTAACTTGCTCAATAATTTGATTTAGAGCATAGTTTCCAGATTTTCTATTCAAGAAGTTCATCTTGATAAGTTGGTTTACATCATAGTTGGTTTAGCAAAATAATTTATTAAGTGCCTCCACTTAATAGCTAAATTGTTGCTGATGAGAACAAAGTTATCTATATCAGTTTGATATACGTTATATACCAAAGTATATTATTTTCTTCCCTCACAAGTGGTTCAGGGTCAGGAACCAAATAATTCCGTCTTATTATTATTGATGTGCGGTGTATATTTTAATTAACACCATAATGCACAAAGATGAGTTCTTAAAGTTGAGGAAACAAGTTAGTTTTTCTAACATGAGGAGGAGACATGATAAACAGTTGAGAAAAAGTTACATGGAATGAATTATTATGTGTACATCTAGATCCTCGAATAAGATAATATGAACTTGAAGTTCATAAAAGGATAATTCATGTGCAATTTATTGAAAAGCATGCCAGACGCATTCGCTGACCCAAAGAAAGTAGCTATATTCTCATTGCAAATGCTCCTATTAAGTCCTAGAAGGACAAAGTCTATGGTACGCTTAAAGCATATAGACAAATCGGTTTCAAATAAACTTCTTGATAAAGAAGATGAGCAAATGATCAAAATGATCATAATAAAAGAGGCAAGTGATCTAGAAGATCACATGACATAACACTTCATAAAATCTCATGAGAGATTCAGGTACCTGAATATATGAATGAAGAGATCTCTATGTTATGTCTTTATGAAAAATAAGGAGGTTGGAACCGATATAAAATGTTTGTCAACGACATCTATAATAGCGCTAAATATATATGAGGATCTTAAGTCTGGAGAAACAATTCAAGTAGAATTTGGTTTCATATGAAAGACATGTAGTTTTGGACCTGCACTTCAAGTATAAAGTCAATGGTATATGCAATCATTTTTCCGATATCTTATATGTCTAGCATGGCATGAATATTTGATATGCATCTAAAGTCTACTATAGGAATTATATGACTTAACTTATGTGACAATCCATGAAGGATTTAAGT